TGACTTGAGGCTCAAAGCAGACGACTTGGACTTGACTTAGACTTATGGGCCAGTGACTCTAGACTTGACTTGGACTTAGGACTTGACTCGGACTTAGGACTTGACTCGGACTTGAGGACAAAGACTTACTTGAGACTTGCAAAATAACAACTTGGTCCCACCTCTGACTTATACTATATACAAAGTACAAAGCACAAATACTTTTTTTTTTTAATTGCTCAAACAATATGTTCAGAATATTCACTCTTCTGGTCAGTTCATAGTTTGGAGAAGTCATTTGTTGTCGTGTCTGAGCCTGTGTAAAGACCAGTGCAGGTTTGTGTCTGGTGTTTCAGCCAAACTCCTCTAGGCCCCACCCCCCCGATCCCTAACAACTGTTGCTATGGTGCTGAGAGTGGCTCTGACCCAGTGACCCTCCCACTATCTCTCTTTTATATAAAGTAGCCCATTTTCAATAGTGACTACATGAAACTGTTCATTTGAGTTTAGTGTATCCATGCGTAGGCAAAGCTCTGTCTCTCTGTCTCTATGTTTTATTCTGCAGCAGCGAAATCCACTGAGGGTTTATGGAGCTGTAAAAGGAGCCATGACTTTGTAATAGAACTCTGGAGGAAGAGGACTGGGTTTCTACTTGTGAATAAAGACCTGACTGTTTTATAGTCGCTGCACAGTTCATAGTTGTCATAATTTAGGTTTTCGTAGCAATATCTGAAATAGTCTGAAATGACCCAAATCCCACAGACACAGATCTGATTTTTTCAAATGTGACCCAGGACACTTGGATATGTGTCCTAAAACTGATACATATCTGATCTTTTGACATGTGACTTCAGTCTGAACGGTCAGGTCACATTCATCCACCTACACGTCAGGCTCAGAGTCTCGTCAATGGAGGGAAAGTGAGGTTAGTGAGTTCATTCATATTTTCGGGGGATCGCTGTATTCAGGGAAAACTGTAGGGGTCTTATTGGAACCGGGCGGTTTTTGAAATGACTGCCAAATAAATGTCCGAGCGCAGCTTCAGTCGGTCCTGGCTCCAATGTCAATGAAAAATAAAGAGCCTCGAGCCAAATACAAGGAGGATAAAGACTCAAACAAACAAAGCGTCCGTCGATGTTTTACCAAGAACTGGACTGTATTTTGGGAGAGAAGTCCAGCGTTTAGGCGACTTCCGTAAACACTGAGCATGTTCGCTATGTGTGACATCGTCATGTCCTCCAATGCACATGTGGGACACTTTTGGGCGTTTAAAGTTCACACTGGAGATCACACACAAGTTGCTTTTCATTGGAAATCTGAACGACCTTGCAAAAAAAATGGATTTCACAAAAAAATCTGAACTGAGCATTAATCCTGCAGTCTGAACAAAAGGAGGATGAAGCAGAGAGAACACTGAGTAGCTGACCTCTCCACACACCTGACCTGTAATTTGGCCTTTTGTCTCTACAGAAATAGAGAAATTAAAGGTACAGAATGTCACTTTTTGGAGGTAGCAAATCACCTGCATGATTCTATGGAAACAGAAAATTAAAATCATACTTTTGAACTTTGTCCATGGAGAAGAAAGATTTTATGCCATACTGTGGAAAATTATATTATAGCCAACAGATTCAACATTTCCATGGAAACAAGCAGGAGATGGCACTCCAGGTGTCTATTTTTTGACTTAAGGGTTTAAATATTATACTGTGGAACATTCCAGATAAAACTATGACATCTCCATGAACTCCCCACCTTTAAAGGTCCTTATATTGCACAAAGTGGCCTTTTGTGAACTTTAAGCCATGTTGTAATAATGTTACCTCATCAAAAACCTGCAGTTGTGTTTGTTTCATTCACATGTTTGAGTAACTCTTTATTATTAGTCTGTCTGCACCTCCTCAAAATCACCTGAAAATGCTCTGCTCCATGATCTAGAAGAAAACATCATGGAGAAGTATCTTATTTCTGCACATTCTAGTGATTTCTGGTGATTCTGTTTGTTGGAGATTATCATGATGATATAAAATGTCCCACGAACAATTCTTGTGCACCTTTTTTATCATGATAAACGATATCATTATTTATTGTCCCATCCGTATGTATTATATCGTAGTTGAACAGCTCCTTTTGCCTTTTAGTTCAGTAGAGATCGGCAATTCCAGGACTGAAATGATCCAAATGATTCTAGTGAAGCTGTGTGGAGATTAAAAACACAGTGGAGCATTTTCTGTTTTACTACATGACATCACAAGGTGGAAAAGAGTATTTTCAAATTGAGAGAAGAGCTTAAATGTGCAGGGTTTGTGTGTTCAACATGTGTGGATGAACCAAAACACAAGTCCAGGTCTGTTTGTGATGAGGAAACAACATTAGAACATAGATCATAAACTAGTGTAACATTATAACATTACAACATCTTATCATTTAATCACAGTGCTCAAATGTCAACTGATTTCACTGGAGCTCATATGAAACAGCTCGTACATAATGCGCTGTTATGTTTGCATTCTCTTGCTCAAGGCCTGAGGGACACGCAGGGACACGGTGTATTCATATCTGCATCTGTGCTTTAGGCTCATGATATAGATATGCCGGCAATCTAACGCGCACCTGCTGATCGGACACGTGGAGCTGGCCTGGCCCCAAAGGACGTCTTCCAGTGTGGGGGCATGACTCCTCTTATACCAGAGTTTACATCAGCTCATAAAAAACAAATAAGTCCAGTGTGTAGAAAGCACAGGTGAAGATGTGAAAAGTGCTTTTAGAATCATGATGTGATGTGAACTTCAGACCAACACAAACTGTTTACAATGAGCTTGTTGTGTTTTTCATATTTTAGGACAGTCAAACTCAGGTACAAAGAGACACATTATGGAAATATAAAGGTCTCAAATAGCACTGAGCTGCTCAATTATGGAAAAACTTATCACGATTATTTTGATCAATATTGAAATAACAGTTACTCAAACGGTGATGTTTTAGTTACACGATGCATTTACTCAGTATTTCTCTCTCAAAAAAACACTTTGTTACTGATCATTTATGCAAAATTTTCAAATATAGGCTACAAACAGAATAAACTTTGTTAAGCTTTACTCCTTTCAACTCAGTATATGAGTTTGGAGATTGTTTGACACACAAATTGAAATTGCGATCAAAATTCTATTAATTACACAGTCTTAATTTAAACAGTAAGTAAATAAATGAAAACACTGAAGCTTAAAAAAAATATTGAATATGTATTTAAATATGGCAAAATACAGCCAGTTCAAATAAATATACATTACACTACAACTACAACCAAAATAACTACATAAAATATGATATAATATAATAATAAATAACAAAGGTTTTGAAGAGAAAAATAAATATGAATTGTTTTTTAAAAATCTGAATTTGCCAAAAAAAATAAAAAATTCTCTTAAAAATCTCACAAGTTTGAATCTCCTCATATACACACAAAATTGGGAATAAACTTGAGACTAAACCTGGACCAGACCCGGACTTTAACCAGGACCAAGTGTGAAAGGACTTTTTGTTTATTCGAGTGGAATGGGATGGTTTCAAATAGAATTTAAAGACAGGCCTCCAGATGACAGGAGAGGTTTGTCGATGCAGTTTTTACTGTATAAGGGAACACTTGCCCACGCAGCACATGGCGAACAAAACAAGCTCTTTATGTTTGGACATGGACACTACACTCTATATGTATATATATATATATCTATGCATCACAGCAGCTGCACGCTCTGCCTGTCACTGTGTGTGACTGCAAGGGCCTCGTATCATTCCACAAGTTGCCGATATGATACATACCTCGATACATAGGCCACAATACGATACATACCTCAATACATAGGCCACAATACGATACATACCTCAATACATAGGGTACGATACGATACATACCTCAATACATAGGCCATGATACGATACATACCTCAATACATAGGGTATGATATGATACATACCTCGATACGAAGGTAACGATACATACCTCGATACATACGCCACGATACGATACATACCTTGCTACATAGGTAACGATACATACCTCGATACATCCGCCACAATACGATACATACCTCGATACATAGGTAACGATACATACCTCGATACATCCGCCACAATACGATACATACCTCGATACATACGCCACGATATGATACATACCTCGATACATACGCCACGATACGATACATACCTCGATACGAAGGTAACGATACATACCTCGATACATCCGCCACAATACGATACATACCTCGATACATAGGTAACGATACATACCTCGATACATACGCCACGATACAATACATACCTTGATGCGAAGGTAACGATACATACCTCGATACATAGGCCACGATATAATGCATACCTCGATACATAGGCCACGATATAATGCATACCTCGATACATAGGTAACGATACATACCTCGATATATAGATGATGATGTGATACATACCTCGATGCATAGGCCACGATATGATACATACCTCGAGACATAAGCCATGATACAATCTCGATACAGTGAGCTTTTGATTCGATATGATACATTTCAAATTGATTTAATACAGTTCAGTAAAAAATAAAGGCTAAATCATGACTGTGCTACTAAAAGTCTCTGTTAAACCACTTCTTATGCAAAGTGAATATGAAACACAAACATTTTAATCATTAAAACAGTGGAAAGGTCAAATGTGTTACATAAAAGAGTTTCCTTTCAGTAAACAAGCAACAAAACTGTAGCGCTGTAACAAAATAATTTGGTAAAATATACCAAAAATTACTCTTGGCGATATCGATATAGTCGTCCTTGATATTGATACTGTATCTTATCATTAAGCGATTTGATATATTTTTATTTCAATATTTTTGCACACTCCTAATGACTGCTTTGTCCCTGTCAAATCAATCAGTAAAAAGGAGCTTTGAAGATACTTTCAAAAGCTTTCAAATATGTGGCATTTAAGTGTGAACTGCAGTAAACAGAATGATTTATGTGTTTGTGTGTGTGCAGGAGCTGGCTCACGGTCTGGGGGAGCTGCTCTCTTATGAAGGCAACGTGGAGGAGGACTTCTACCTCACCTTCCAGGTAACACCGAGCTTCACTGCTATTTGTGCATTTCAGATGACATCACAACGTTCTATAGGCCAATAATATTTAATACAGATTTCTGCTGTAATGTAGCGAGTTCTTGAGTCTACCCACGAAAAGAAATGATCAGGATCAACATTTGTGACTTCATCTTTTGGAGATTTCTCATGAAAATGCAATGTAATCAAAAGGGAAAAGCTGGAGAAAGTTGAGGCCAGGGTGGTGACACTTGAGCAGTCGTTCTTTGTCATGTTGGGTGCAGTGCTTTGGCAAAGACTGAGTTTAAAGAACCTGTTGAACTTTTGGACCTGATAAAAATCTAGTAAATTGGTGATTGCGAAAGTGCGTCTCCAGCAAAGCCAAACCACAGATCACAGGACAGAAATGAACCTTTCCTGAATGCCTTTAGAATGATGTTGAACTGTATCAGAACAAGTGTAAGAGCACATAGACTAGTGTACACACATGGACCACTGTGGAACCTACTGGACCACTGAGGGATTACACACATGTAAGACCACGTGACACATAGTACCGTATTTTCCGGGCTATAGGTCACACTCTTAAGCCTCTAACCCCATCAAAAAATGACACACAATTCAGAGCGCCCTATACACGAATCCACTCGGGTGTCCCAGCACGACTTCAGTAAACTACAAAGCCGCACCACCCTGCAGAACACACAAACACACACGGAGCAGACAGCGACCGCACAGTGAAACACACCCACACACACACTCATCGCTCCACACCGACGAGGAATAGAACGGAGGAACAAACTGAAAAAAACGAGCGCAATGTGCCACTTCTAGACACAAATGAACAACTGAGTCACTGCGAACACGCCGACAATCCGTTGGTCCCACACAGCACCCTCCCTACACGCCACAACTGAACAAAGCCCAGAGTCACTGTGAACGAACAAACAAACAAAACCACTCACCCATCACACTGTTGGGTTTCCTTTAAAGTCCGTTGCGGTTTATTTGTGAAAAAAGTTTGAAAACAGACCATTCAGTGACAGTGCGCTTTATAATCCAGAGCACCTAATAGTGCGGAAAATACGGTAATAGTAATAGGGAAAGTACTACTACTACTACTACTACGATTTACTGTTGAAAATCACATTCTGTTGTATAAATATTGTGTATTTTATTATCATATTCATCACGACCAAATAGCAGCGATTGGTTAAATAAAAAAAGTACCTGCCTACTGTTGAACGAACGAATCCTAATGCTGCGAGGTCAGACAGTTTCTACGAAGTGAAACCGGCTGATGAATCAGACTAACCTTTTACATGATCAAGGAATAAATTAATTCGGCTTTAAAATTGGAATAAACCACCCACTTACTTCGGAATTAAGTTCTATTCTGAATAATCATTTTCATTAGGAATTAAGTGTTTACATGGTCTTTTTTAAAGCGGAATTCATTTTTATTCAGAATTAAATTATTATTAAAGCTCTCATGTAAACGTGGCAAACATGGTACAAATAATACCAAATTGTGACGCATTCCAGGCAAAACAAAACATCGAGCATCACTGAGACAAGAAATGAGCGGACCCTCCACCACAAAAGTTACACAGTGCATCTTCAGTATCGAAATCGAGTTTGAGATTTTCGTTTCATGACACCACTACCCCCACCTCCACCCGACCTCCACCCCGCTGCGTCTTAATATGAGCTGTCCATCAACACCAGCCTTCTTGAATGCCAGCCGCGCTCTGTATTTCATAATCCGCGGATCTAAATATACCTGATTAATCCTCACATGAGTGCCGATAATCTCAGGAGTGTGTGTGTGCGTCAGACCTGCTCACACGCTTAGGTCATGACAGTTGCACGCCAAGTCCAGCCAGCCTCAAAACAACGACAAAACTTTATATACCTCCACTTAGCACATTAGGAAGTCATAAACGTAGCTCGCAAAACCCTCGGTGGGCGGCTAAAACTTTTATTACAGCTGTCAGTAGGGCTGCGTATCATTAAGAAGATGCCGATACAATACATACCTCAATATATAGGCCATGACACGATACATACCTCGATACACAGGCCACGATACGATACATACCTCGATACATAGGCCACAATAAGATACATACCTCGATACATAGGCCACGATACGATACATACCTCAATACATAGGCCACGTTATTTATTACTCACCTCTCATGAATTCGTAAATGTAAACTGCAGCATCTCATCCACATTATCCATCAGAATTTGTTCTCTGCAAATAATGACACCCGGTCCACAAAACAGCACTGTTAATCAAATTCGAAGTGTTCTTAAAAATTAAAAAGTTGAGAGTAGTTCCTCACGTGTATCTGTTAACGTCAACACAGCACACATGGATGTAAATATGTTTTATTGCCAAACTTTGGTGCATTAAAAATCATGTTTCTGAATTACATTTCACAAATAATGAACTGCATTTTGAATTGCATCTAAACTAGAAGTGCAATGCTCTGATCTTTTCAACACTTCAAAATCTCACAGGACTCTCCTTGTGTCTGTGGTGTGGCTTTTTGCCATTTAAAAATGGTTCAAGACGTTCACCCGGCGTTGCCACGCTGTGTTGGTGAAGGTGGATTATGAATGTGAATGTGGGTGAATCATTTAAGTTCGTTTTTTTTTTTATTTCCTACAAGGACGACTCAAATATACATTGAGTAATAATGTGTTTAATGCAGCTTTGCACAAATTTGTTTATGTTTTACAAAAATGAAACTTAAATCCAAATGACTCATTTGCATAAACTGTAAGTGCTGAAACAACAGCTGGCTCCTTGTGCGCTGATGCTGTCAGCTTCTGTTGGACTAAAGGACATGGCTTACTTACTCTGGGGGGGCTCCTAACTACAGTAGACGTAATGCTCCGACAATCCATCAATCGGTGCGGCTTTGTAGTTTACCAAAGTTGTACTAAAACATTTTGACAGATTTTTGAGCGCTGTGTACCACATAAAATTCATTCGAGGTCAGTAAACACAACCAGAATTAAGACATAAGGTGCACCAAATTATAAGGCACAATGTCTATTTTTGAGAAAATTAAAGAATTTTAAGTGCGCCTTTTGGTCCGAAAAATACGGTATATTATTTTTAGGTAACGTTTATCTCCTCTCCTCCTCTGCTGCTCGCTGCCCCTCTCGGTTCAGAAGGGGCAGCTCTGTGGTCTGATGGTTTAAAGTCCCCTCTCCTTAAAGTGGCCCCTCAGCAGTGAAAGCCAACACTGACTCCACATCTCCAGAGCTCCCGAGGGCCTCGAGTCAATGACTGACCTGACCTACATATTATGTAATGCCAATGGACGCTCTCTGATCTGAGGATTATGTAATGCCAATGGAAACAGAGTCAGAAATACCCAGGTTTACCTCACACTGTTTCTGAGGTGAGAGCGGCTGAGGCGCAGATCGGTAGCCTTGCTTCCGTCAGTCTGCCCCAGGGCATCTGTGGGTGCTATATTATCTTACCACTGCCTGTGTGGAGTGAATAAATAATGCATGAAATTGTAAAGTGACTTTGAGTGTCTGAAAAACTGCTGTGTAAGAAAAATGCAGGATTATAAATAAAAAAGAAACATTGTTTTTTCTGGTTGTTTTGTCCTAGTAACTTTATCATTCAGAAAATTTGATGTCATAAATATGGTCACATAGTGGAGGACTGGTGATCTATTAGACCAGTGTTTCCCAAACTTTTTTTTCTGGAGACCCTTATTTTAAAAGTCACAAACCTTCACAGCCCAAGGCAATAGACACTATTCATCATTCATCACAAAATAAAGGTGGATTTGAGCATTATTGAACATTAATGGACATATTTTATTGTTGACTGAGTGATTGTGTCTCTGAACAATTAGTATTACTCAAGTTTTAAACATGAAAAACAGTCATTGAAGATCCATTATTTGCCTATTTGGACATTAAATGTAGCCCATTTCTTTTTCTTTTCATTCAATTGATCCAGAAATATTGGGACAAACTAGTCAATAAAACAATGACTGTATTTTTCAGATTATAAAGTGCACTGGATTATAAGGCGCAATATCAATCATTTTCTCTCGTCTATTTTCATACATAAGGTGCACTGGATTATAAGGCGCATTAAGCAAAACAAACGGACGACATTGAGACTGATCCTTATTCCAGGCGTCCACAATCCATTGGCAGATCGTGGTGTAATTCACCCGCCGTTGCCTCCCTGTCTTGGTGAATGTGGATTATGAATGTGAATGTGGCTGGATTGTTTAAATTTGTATTTTTATTACCTACGAGGACTCAAATATACACTGAGTAATAATGTGTTTAATGCAGCTTTGCACACATTTGTTTACATTTTACAGAAACAAAACTTAAAAACATGTGACTAATTTGCATAAACTATAAGCTCTGACAAAAACAGCCCTGATGTGGTTCAGCTTCTGTTGGACTAAAGGACATGACTGGTGGAATATGAGTGTTTTTTTCCTCTGTGACAGAGGATGTGCTGCTGATGGTGAGTCTGTTCTGTGCTTATGTCATGTTGGAGATGGCTCATGTGAAACTTGATTCAGATCAGAGATTTTAAGTCTTTTTGAGCACCGTGTCCCACGTTAAATTGGTTCGAGGTTAGTAAACACAACCACAATAATTACATAAGGTGCACCGGATTAAAAGGCGCACTGTCAATTTTGGTGAAAAGGATTTTAAATGTGCCTTATAGTCTGAAAAATATGGTACAAAAAGATTAGAAATGATACAAAACATGTCTTAACTTTTCAACATTTCTAGTGAGATAGGTGGGCCTGTCTGCGTTTTTATAGCTCGTTCCAGTCTGGGGTGCAGTAGGAGAACGCAGCAGCAGATCAGGCGTATAGGCAGAACTGTATATTGCAGACTTACATGCAGATCGTGACAAGGCGACCCAAAAAAAATCTCTTGCGACCCACCTGAGAGTCATGACCCAGTCTTTGGGAAACAATGTATTAGACAATGTGATTAAAAGTGTTT